GGTGCTGTGACAAGCACAGTGAAATATGGGCGCCATTTCCCGCTTTCTGAGACCTTCTGATCTGAGGGATTCTGCCACCACCGATGGCTTGGGCTGTGTCAGTACTCACCAAATTGTTTCCAGCAAAGGGGGTTTGGGAAAAGAAAAAAAAAAAAACATATAGACATGACCTTCACCCCAAAATTAAACTGCCAGCATAATACAGGATTGATGCATACATGGACGGTCTAGAACCCCCTGTGGCAGGGACTTACTTTATCAAACCATCTTCCACGTACAGATCAGCGTAAAACGACTGGTCCTCATTCACAATCTTCCCGCCCTTGATCAGAAGGCAGTCACTCTGTTAGAAACAAAACACGGGGCCAGTTTCTCCAAACTGACCTCAGCAATGTCAGCCTGCTGCAGCCACGTCCTGAACTATAAATGGAGAGAGACACCAGGGCACACGGTGCAGACACAGAAGTCACCGCCCCTCGAGAACAGAGCAGGTCAAGTGTGGGGACACCTGCTGGCCCCATGGCCACTGTCCAGGCAGCAAGGCCGGGCTGATGAAGGCACAGCAAGGCAATGGACGCCCTTTTTAGCTTTAAATCGGCTTTTTAGCTTATTGTAAAAGCCCCAGCCTCAGGGAAGAGGTGAACAAAGGACCTTCTGTGAGGCCCCCCTGCATGTGGCCCCAGAAGGACTCATCTCCCACTGCCCCATGTCCCCCACACCAACAGGGCTGGGAGCAGACTTTTGGTGACAGTGGTGTGGCCGTGGATCTGTGCTGGTCCATGCCGGAGAGGGCAGAACTCCTGCAGGCAGGGCTGCTGTCCCCAGGGAGGGTGCATTCCAGCGGGAGGGAGACAGAAGACAGATGACGACAGACCGTCACAGACCGTGAAGCCGTAGAGTGGTGCCAAGACAGAGACGTGAGAGGCGGCAAGGCTGCTCATCAGAAGGCCTGAGGGGGTGGTATCCTTGGTGATGCAGCCACACAGTGGCCTGTGCAAAGGCCCTGAGGTGGGAAAGAGCTTGAAGTGATGCGATACTGGACAGACTGATGAGTAGAACCTTCCGAAGAAAGGGTGGTATGGGAACATGAAGGGCTGGGCTTCCTGGGAAGAGGGGTCTGCAGGTAGGCATGGGGGCCTCTAGCGGAGTTTAGTATGGTCTGGATGGTGTCAACGTATTCACATTGGCTGCCGTGTAGCAAGGGATTCTGGGGTTTAGTGGAAATGGGGACCTTATGTAGGTGGTTTGGGGATTATAGGGCTGAAAGCTTCGGGCCAGGATTATGGGTGGTAGATGAGAGCTGGGGTCCAGAGAGGCTGGGAGGTGAGCTGCTGGACATACCATGGGAGGGGAGGGCAAGAATGAATCAAGGTGACAGCCAAGGTTTGGGTCTGTTTGGTGGCTCCTCCAGGCCCTCCTAGCCAGAGTGTGAGGTGACTCAGAGGCTCGGCAGGCTTCGGCCAGGAAGAACCTCGCCTAAGGATCCTGCCAAACCGCCGAGAAGAGTCGGCAGGGGTGCGTGTCATGGAGGGACCTCTGTATGGCCGTCACAGCTGTTAGGCAATGACAGGACCTCAGTGAAGAATAATAGGGAAAAAGAAACACAAGCGGACGGGAGCGGAAGGCAGGACAGATGACGTGGCTAGGATCAAGCTTCCAGCAGGCCCTTGGTATCCTGTTTGAGCCTGGACACAGCCCTGTGACCTTCCCAGAGCAGGAGTGACTTTCTGTGTGTCCCAGGGAGGTCTCGTCACCCACCCACCCTGGACTTCTGCCTGTTTGACATCATCTGCCGGAGGCCGGCAGGATAAACCATACAGCTTGCTGCCTCTGAGAGGCCCAGAGATGACGACCTGTGACCATCAACCTCAGTGTGTTGGTCACCATTCTTACTGATGTCTAACTGCAAAGTCAAGGTTGCACAGATTAAACGTGAAACTAGGAGGGCTGGCAAACTGCTGTGCGTGGGCCAAGCCTGGCCCTCTGCCTCGGTACAACCAGAGCTAAGAATGGTTTTTATGTTTTAAATTGGGTGGGAGGAGGGCCGAAGAAGACTCCGTGATGTGTGAAAACAGCATGAGATGCAGACCCCAGTGGAAGACAGCGACGCCCTGTGTTACTGCCCGTGGCACCAGTCAGCAGAGTCGAGCCATGCAACAGCATCGTATGGCCGGCAGAGCGGACAGTGTTCTCCATCTGGCTCGACAAAGACATCTGTGGCCCCTGGGCCACGGTCCTGCTGCTGTCTGCAGCTGCAGGGCCTCTCCCTGGGGGGCCTTGAGAACCTTCACAACCTGGCCTCTCCCAGGTCCTGCACACCCTCACCCAGCTCTGACCCAGCTCTGAACCTCACCACGAGCCTGGCCGTCTGGCCTGTCTACCTCTCCCCCGCCATACACTGCCCCCAGCCTCTTCTTGGCAAAAGAAAAGAGCTTGGGCTGGGGGGCCCACCTTCCCCCCACCTTCCCAATTGTTCTCAGCTCATGGACCCAGACTCTGGGGCTTTGGAACCAAGAGGGCCATGCAACTAGGAGGGGGAGCCAGTCTCTCACTGGGAGTGGTCCTTGGGATAAGAGCGAAAGTGTGGACAACTAGCAGCCCCTCCTGACAGGGCAAATCTGCCTGCTTCTGAACCCCCTCCTCCATCACCATAGGGCTTCTCGCATCAGACTCAGGCAGTGGCTGGTTCCAGAGGCAGGTCCCTTCCGGGGCAGGGAGAGGTGTTCCTTAATCTGGAAAAGCCTGAACCAGGAGGCCCCAGCCAGATCGCCGCCCGCTGGACTCAGGCGCCAACTGGGACCCGCTGGAGTCGGTGCCTCCTGGCTCCCTCGCCGGGTATCTGGCGGCCTCAGGCGTCGACTTTGCCGCGCGAGTGGGTGTCTGAGTCCCCCTCCCCAGCCTGGGGCTGCCGGGCGCACGGTCTGACTAGTGTACTCGCCCCGCGGGCTTCCCTGAGCTGCGCGCGCCGGCTTCGCGGAGGATCTGGGCGGCCGGACTGCATCGCTTTGTCTCGGACAAAGAGCCCCCGCGCGGCGCGTCCCGGGGGAGAGGGCCGCAGGCTGCACCGGGCTCTGCGTCTCCGCGCCCCAGGCCGCCGGCGGGCTAACAAAGGCCTAGCTTCCGCACGCCGAGGGCCCCGGGGATACCGCGGTCCAGAGCGGGGTCAGCTCGGCCTTGGCGGCAGCGCGCAAGAAAACCGAGTGGAGAAGGCCGGCTCCGGACAGGGCCACGCCGGGGCCGGACTGAGGGCTAGGGACCGCGCGGGCGGAGGGTCCGGAGGCCAGGCCGCTGGGGCCGCTCACCGTGATCCGGGGGATGCTCTTCTTGCCTTGGAAGGCCATCCTGATCCTTGGGGGCCCGGCCTGGCTCGGAGGAGACGCGCTGGGGTCCCCGCAGGGGTGGCGGCGCGCGGAGCCTTCGCCTGAGAGGAAGGGCGCGGGAGGAGGAATGCGAGCGCGTTGGACCGCGCGGCCCTCGTCCCGCCCCCGGCCCCGCCCCGGCCCCGCCCCACCGCACCGCCCCTCCCCCGGGCGTCGACCAGCGGTCTAGGGGTGCAGGCTCTGCGCTGGTGGCCCCCACGCTGTACACGGACATGCGCGCGAAGGGGCCACGCGCGCGGTCCCAGGCCCAGATCCCTGAGCCCCAGGTCCAGCCCGAGGGGCGGACACATTCGGTGATGAGTCGGGTGTGAGACCTGAGCCCGGGGAGGAAGGTGAGGGAGGTCGCCAGCGTCCCGCCAGCCTCCACCTCGGCTCCGGCCAGTCCCCGGAGACCCGATGTCAGCTCCCGCCCGGGCGCTCCGGGAGCCAGGCCACGTCCGGGAAGGCGCCTTGGCAGAAGCGCCGGGAGGGGACCTGGGATGCGGGGCTGGCGGTGGAGATGGCACTGCGGCCTCCCCCAGCGGCTCCCCGCCAGGCTGCTTGCTCCAGGGCCGCGGCAGAAGCCTAGGTAACGGGAGGGAGCGAGCATATGGAGAAAACAAAGACAGGAAGAGACAGCGAGGCCGAGACCAGAACGGGAAAAAGTAACCCGAGACAGAACCGGACAGAGGGACCCAGACAAGGGCGAGAGGGACGCAGAGTGAGACGGCCACGGGCGCCGGAAGCCTGGACTGGGTGGGACAGCGAGAGGGGGACTCCGCGGCCCCGCCGCACTATGCACCTGCATATCCTTTCTGCGGGCCCGGGAAGGCGGGGTGGGGTGGGGGGGAGGATGAGCCGCCGACCCGCGTCTCCGCGGTCTCCCCTGGCTATGGACCGAGGGCCTGGGCCGCGAAGGGCCGTCTTAGGGTCTTGCTGCTGCTGCCTCCAGATGTCTTTGCCCGTCTCTCGGAGTCGCCGCGCTGGCTGCAGGGCTCACTGACTTGGGAATCCTGGAAGCCTCCACCCAGGCGCCCGGCTCCCGGTGGCCCTCCAGACAGATGGCAGTGCCCGGAGCTCCGGCCAGTCGGGGCTGTCTGTGCCCAGGCAGCGGCTCCTCGGGCTTCTGCGGCCTGTGGATGGCCGCTGGGGGCGGGGTGAGCGATGGCCTGGAGTTCCAGAGCCTCCAGCGGTGGCTTGAGCGCGTCGGGGCGCCGGCACGCAGCTGGCGCTGTCCACGGTCCGGGTGCTGAACGCAGGCCAGGCAGAGGGCGTCCTTCCTTTGCTCAGGGCTGCCACCGAATGGGTCCAACCGTTTAAGGGCGCGCTGGAGAAACCACGTATCTGAAAACTTAGCCACAGCCCCGGCTCCGTGGGAGATCTCACTCCAGGCAAGAAGGCCCTGACTCCCAAACGCCTGGTAAGGCCTGGTAAGTGTAGAGGGGGTGTTGCACCTAAGCCAGCCGTGGGGCATGCCCCTGAAAAGCAGAGTTGGAGGTTGGAGGGTGAGACAGACGGAGAAGCTCCCAGGCCCTGTCCCTGTCCATCCACATAGACACCGCCCTTTAAGGAAAGGCACCCGCCTCTGGTTCTGGCCGGTGCACTGGTGTCCCAAGCACAAATGCCAGCTCAGGACACGCCGCTGAGGGACCCAGTGCTGGGGGCATGAGGTGTCAGCAGGTCCAAGGCCAGCAGCCTCCCACCTCTCCATCTGCAGTGGAGTGTCCATCACCCTGCTCCCCAAAATGACCAGTAAACACCGTGTTACTCACCTGTGTTGGGCCTTTTGCAGTGGAGACTGTCACAAAACTTTCTTACTCTGTCACTTTTCTGGATTGACTTCCTTGTCCTCAGGTTCACAGTTGACAGACAGCTGCGGGAGGTGACCTCGGCCAGGTGCTGTGGGCACCCAGGATTCCAGAGTGTGTTGTCCTGCGATGCAGATGCTTCAGGATGAAGCTGCTGACAGTGGCACCCCCTCCCAGAGGCAGGCACCAGGGCCCCTTCCCAGTGTGGAGAGGTCTGCTTGTCCTGGAACCGGCACTGGAACCAGCAGTGGCTTACACAGCTGCTGCGTCCAAACTCCCGCACATTGAGGGGGAGAGAAAGCATCGATATTCTGAGATTTATTTTTTTTTTTATTAAAACTGTACAGTAATTTACAAATGAATAAAAATTCTCTGGTATATATCATAGGAACCACAATACAAAAATATGTGTGAAATTCTGTAGCTGCCCACTGTACACACCTGTTCTGGGCCTGTGGCTGCTGATGGGCACGAGCCCCGGGCCACACGTTTAGAAAGGCTATTGAGGATTGCTGCGGGACACAGACACCGCCTGGAGTGCTGCCGCGGGGAAAACACGTCCCAATGCGTTTTTGCATAAACTTACAATAGAGCTTTAAAAAAAGACAAGTATGTATACAATATACAAATATATGCTTTGATACATAAGTTCACAATATGATTTTCCTGAGCCTAAACTCAAATCCATTACTGTGTTAAAACACACAATCTAGCGTTAGGTCGGTGACGGATGTGATGCCAAAAGGCTGAGTAGCGCAGAAATGCCCCTGACCCCTCAGGTCCACCTCTCCTCGGTCAGTGAATGTCAACGTTCACCAGCCATATAAGGCACGTGGGTATCCAGAATAGACAGCTTCTGCCAGGCCAGAGCACTCGCCCCCTGGGTCCCTCAGCAATGTGACCTCCAGCCTGTGCAGCCAGGGTCAATGTCAACCCAGGAAGCTGCCAGCCCACCGATTCCAGTCCAAATACTACACTTGTGTGTTCAGCATGTCGTGCACCTGGGGTGGCCATGTTGGTAAACGTGTGCTGTCCTGCCGTCTGTGCCTTGGTAACCCAGCACCTCTTCAGGGTCCCTCCCTGCTCCACCAGGGCGATGTGTTCACACGCAGACTTCCCCATCTGCGTTGCTAGCAGTGTGAGGGCCCAGGTCGTTGCAGGAAATCCCTCACAGCCCACTGCTCGAGTGAAGGTTGTGTGCCATGATTTACAAATTTACGCACGTCATCTGAACACAGGTGCATCCATTAGGTGGTCACTGCACAGCAGACGAGGGTTCATGTTTGCCTCCCCCACTTTTGGAGATAGTTTAGTTTTGTAACCAGATGCAAAGGAGGTGCATGTAACAAAGAAAAAGTCTGACGTCTACCGAGAGGAACCGATGTGGCCACAAAGGCGGTGCTGCTCAAACCCTCGCTGAGCTGCGGAGCCTGTCCTGGGGGCGCCGCGGCTCCCCACTCAACAGCAGCTTCACGCCACTGGTCACATTTACGTGCCTCCCGTGGCCACACAGCCTGCCTGCTGTTAATACAAAGTGATGGTTACGAGTGTCTTGGGGTGGGTGGGAAAGGTACGAACTGCAGAGTCCCCACAGATGCAAAGTCATGGTGACCCAATAAACAAGGACGACAGTTCGGGCCCGGCCCAGGCACACCTGAAGGTTCTGAACAGTGGTCTGCGAGGCCCTGCTCCTCTCGCATGCACGCCAGGCCCGAGGCTCCGCCAGGGAGGCCAGCTGCAGGGAGTAGTGTGGAGGTACGGCACACTTCTGGGTGCCGGCATAGTACAGCCCACCCACCGCGCCGAGGCAGCTTATATTAACACAAGGCCGTGGCTTGCCGTTCTGCTCTGGACACAGCTAACGTGTCAAGAGGACACAGTCACGAGAACAAGCCAGCACTAAGCGTGGGGAGAACCCAACTGCAGACCGGAGGTGGGAGCCCCAACGAAGCACTAAGCTGGCCCAGGCTCTGGCCCGTGTGAGGGAGCAACCGTGGCTCTGGTGACAACAGGGAGGAGGGTCCTGCTGCCGCGGCGTTCCCAGCGGACGCTGCACCGCCCGAGAAAGGCATGCTGGTGTGAGCCTGACTGCGCCTCAGGGCCGGCTCGGCTCGGCAGCCGCTGCGTCCTCTGCACCGGAGGGGAACATCTGACAGAAACACAGAAGGACACCACCACGCCTGTCCTCCAGCCTCTGCGGAAGGCAGCTGCCTTTCTGTCCGCAGTGTGGTCAGCTGCATCCAGTCACTGCTAGGTGCCTCAGCAGAGCTAAGATCCTACACACACACACACACACACACACCCCTTATCAATTCAGCACCGGAGCCACCACCTAGACCCCGGACTGGGAGCCCAGGAGAAGCACCTCCAGGAAGGGGGGCTCCGTCCCAGCAGGGAGACTTTCCCGGGTGCGGGGGCCAGGCTGAGCAGCCTCCTCGAGGTGCTGGTTTCTCTCTGCAAAAGAGAGAAGACAGGGCTGTCTCAGTGTGAACCCCCAGGCCCTCCTGGCTGGCATGCATGATGGGGGCAGCGGCAGACACCTGCAGGCAGGCTTCGGCAAAGCCGGGCCCACCCTGACGGCTGGCGGAGGGCACGGGTGTGTGCTTGGCGGGTCTAGCACCAACCAGTCAGGTAGTCCAGCTTGGGAGCTGCTGTCCTTCCCAAGAGCTGGCAAGCCGTGGAGGCGGTCAGTGCTTGCGCCCAAGCTCTCTGCACAGGTGCCCTTGGACCTCGCCTACCATGCTGGGGACCTCTCGGCACTTAGAAAGTGGGCCTCTGCTACATACTGATTGCCTCTTGTTACCTTTAAAATCTGTCACATTTTCAACACTTTCTGGAGAAGCAGTTAGGGCTCCTTGAACAAAGCAGATGGGCCCTGGAGTTACTTAGAGGTGGCTTTGGCCAGAGGCTACTGTCTCAAACAGAACAGACAACAAACTCCATAGGGTCACACACGCTCGCCAACCTCACTCACCAATGCAACGGTCCAACGTCTGCTGCCAGCAAACACACGTGGCACTCTGTGCCTCCACCTCGACTCACTGCCAGGTTAAGTGTCCACAGAATCGCCTTTGCTGGAGTGTGGGACACCAGGTCACCCTCCAGGCCAGCTTTGGAACTGCATGTGGAAATGCCAAAGCCAGAGGACACACAGGACTTCCAAGGCCACAAGCC